TAGCTAGAGCAATAAAACAACAAAAGGAGATCAAGGGGATACAAATTGGAAAGTAAGAAGTCAAACTTAAACTATTTGCCGATGACATGATAGTATACATAAGTGACCCCAAAAATTTGACCAAGGAACTCTTACAGCTGATAAACACCTTCCGTAATGTGGCAGGATACAAGATTAACTCAAAAAATTTAGTAGCCTTCCTATATACAAATGACAAATGGGCTAAGAAAGAAATCAGAAACATCACCCTTTACAAAACCACAAATAATATAAAATACCTTGGGGTAACTCTACCTAAGCAAGCAAAGGACCTGTATGACAAAAACTTTAAGTCCCTGAAGAAAGAAGTTGAAGAAGATGTCAGAAAATGGAAAGACTCCCATGCTCATGGACAGGTAGGATTAACATAATAAAAGTGGCAAACTTACCAAAAGCAATCTACAGATTCAATGCAATCCTCATCAAAATCCCAACACAATTCTTCACAGACCTGTATAGAACAGTACTCAACTTCATATGGAAAAACTAAAAACGCAGGATAGCCAAAAGAATCCTGCACAATAAAACAACCTCTGGAGGCATCATGATCCCTGACTTCAAGCTCTACTATAGACCTACAGTAAGAAAAACAGCTTGGTACTAGCATAAAAACCAACACATGGACCAATGGAACCGAACTGAAGACCCTGACATTAATCCGGACACCTACGAATAGATGATTTTCAACAAAGAAGCCCAAACTGTACAATGGAAAAAAGAAAGGATCTTCAAGAAATGGTGCTGGCATAACTGGATGTCAACATGTAGAAGACTACAAATAGATCCATATCTGTCACTGTGCACAAAACTTAAGTCCAAGTGGATCAAAGACCTCAACATAAATCCAGTTACTCTAAACCTGATAGAAGAGAAAGTAGGAAGTAAGAGAATTGTAGCTGGACTTTTTTCCAGTCCTGTCTGGCCCATGGTCAGGACAAATCTCTCTCATCTGCCAGCCCCGCAGCCGTTCAGACCCAACTGAGTAAACACACAGAGACTTATATTGCTTACAAACTGTATGGCCGAGACAGGCTTCTTGTTATCTAGTTCTTATATCTTAAATTAACTCATATCTATTAGTCTATAAGTTGCCATGTGGCTGGCAGCTTATTGGTATCTTTACATGACACTTTCCATGGCGGTGGCTGGCAGTATCTCTCTACTCAGCCTTCCTGTTCCCAGCATTCTCTTCTCTCCTTGTCCCACCTATACTTTCTGCCTGGCTACTGGCCAATCAGTGTTTTATTTATTAACCAATCAGAGCAACACATTTAACATACAGAACATCCCACAGCAGAGAAGAAGAGAAAGTCTTGAACGCATTGGCACCAGAGATCACTTCCTAAATATAACACCAGTAGTACAGACACTGAGAGCAACAATTAGTAAATGGGACCTCTTGAAACTGAGAAGCATTTTGTAGGGCAAAGGACACAGTCAATAAGACAAAATGACAGCCTACAGAATGGGAAAACATCTTGACCAACCCCCACATCTGACAGAGGGCTGATATCCAGAACATATAAAGAACTCAAGAAATTAGACATCAAAATACACAACAGTCCAATTAAAAATGGGCTATAGAGCTAAACAGAGAATTCTCAACAGAAGAAGCTCAAATGGCTGAAAGACATCCTTAGTCATCAGGGAAATGCAAATCAAAATGACTCTGAGACGCCATCTTACACCTACCTCTCAGAAGGGCTAAGATAAAAACCACTGAAGACAAGTTATGTTGGAGTGGATGTGGAGCAAGGGGAACACTTCTCCACTGTTGGTGGGAGTGCAAATTTGTACAGCCACTTTGGAAATCAGTATGGTACTTTCTCAGAAAATTGGGAATTGATCTCCCTTAAGACTTAGCTATACCACTCTTGAGAATATACCCAAGGAATGCTCAATCATGCCACAAGGACACATGCTCACCTATGTTCATAGCAGCCTTATTTGGAATATCTGGAACCTGGAAACAACCTAGATGCCCCTCAACTGAAGAATGGATAAAGAAAATGTGGTACATATACACAATGGAATACTACTCAACAGAGAAAAACAATGACAGCATAAAATTTGCAGGCAAATGGATGGAACTAGAAAAAAATCATCCTGAGTGAGGTAACCCAGACTCAGAAAGACAAACATGGTAGGTACTCACTCATAAGTGGATACTAGATGAAAAGCAAAGGATAAGCAGACTGCAACTCACAGCTCCAGGGAGGCTACCTAGTGAAGAGGACCCTATGAAAGACACAATATTGCCCAACGATGGAGAAATGGATGAGATCTACATGATCAAGCATCATTTGGGGTTGAGAGGGGTTAATGGAGGGCAAGGGTTGAGACAAAGAGAGCTTAGGGGAGCAGGAGGTCTTAGCTAGATCAGGAACAGAGTGAGAGAACAAGGAAAGAGATACCATGATAAATGAAGCCACCATGGGAATAGGAAGATGCAGAGTGCTAGAGAGGTCCCCAGAAATCCACATACATGATTCCACTAAGACTACTGGCAACGGTCAAGAGGGTGCCTGAGCTGATCTACACTGGTGATGGAATGGTCGAACACCCTAACTGTTGTGATTGGACCCTCATCCAGGTACAATGGAAGCAGATGCAGAGATCCACGGCCAAGCCTCAGGTGGAGCTCCAGGAGTCCAATCGACGAGGGAGAGGAGGGATCATATGAGCAAGAGATATTGAGACCATGATTGAAAAAGGAAAGAGAAGACTAGCCAAACTAGTGGAAACACATGAACTTTGTCCAATAGCCAAGGAACCCCCATGAGACTGGATTAGACCCCATGTATAAGTGAGACAGTTGTATAGCTTGAACTTTTTAGGAGGACCCCAGGCAGTGGGACTGGGACCTGTCCTTAGTGCATGAGCTGGATTTTTGGAACCTAGTGCCTATGCTGAGACACTTAGCTCAGCCATGGTACAGGGAGGAGGGGATTGGACCTGCCCCAAATGTAGGTACCACGCTCTGCTGACACCCCAGGGAAGACCTTGCTTTGGGATTGGTGGGAATGAGGGGTGGGTCGGGGGGAAGGCTGGGAGGTAGGAGAAGGAAGGACAGGGTTATCTGTGGTTGATATGTAAATGAATAGAACATATCTTAATAAAATGAAAAGAAAAAAATATAAAAAATTCATTTCTGCTGGCTCTTTTGAATTTTTGGTGTGACACAGAGTTGTCCTATTGAGTTACAGAATTTGGAAGGCTTTCTTGCTGTCCTTTTGACCCTCTGTGACCAGATGAGTTTTGATCAGGCTGCTAAGAATGTTCAATGATGAATGAATGATGTTACACAAGGGATGTTGGAAAAAAATGGGATATCCAGGTAAAAGAATGAAGTTAAGCCTTCACTAACAACATATACAAATCAGCTCTACATGGATCAAAGATCAGAGCTGACAGTCATCAGACTTTTAAGAGACAGGATGAAAGCATCTTGAAACTCGATTTCTAATGGTATCTTTGTTATGATGCCAGATGCATCATGTGGGCCTTTTGGCTGCTTATATGTCTCTACAGAAGATGCATGTTTGGTACCTGAGGAGGACAGAGAGGGTGTTGAATTCTTTGGAACTTCAGTTACAGATGTAATAGGCTGCCATGTGGGTGCTGGGAATTGAACTCATATCCTTTGGAAGAGCTGCCAGGGCTCTTAACTATTGAGCTCTCTCTCCAGTCCCATAAACCATACATATACACACACACACATACTATTACACACCAAAAAAACCCCAGTTATTAGAAAAAAAAGCATCTTGTGCAGGGATGTCATGCTTCAAATGTCAGCATGAGGATAAGAAACTCAGTATACGGGCCACCAAGATGGCTCAGCTGGCAAGAGTGCCTGCCGTACTCCCTCCCAGTACCTGGCCCTAACTGCCACACAGAAATAAATGCACAAACAAATGTGGGCCAGTGAATTGGCTTAGCAGATAAAGGGCTGGTTCATCCACCTGAGTTCATTCCCCTGTCCCTGGATAACTGGCTCCCACAAATTGTCCCCTGACCTCCACTCTTGGGTTGGGACATGCACACAAAATGAATAAGTATGCAAATATAGTAAGAAACTCGTTACAGGTCCTTTCTATCTATGCATTTTATATTTATGGAATGAAACCTTGGAAACAAACTACTTGAAATAGTATCTCTGCAGTGAAAAATGTATTGTTTCATCCTATCTTTGTACTGTACTCAACACAGTAAGACTAGGGTCTATGCAGTATTCATATTAGGCATTGGAAATAATCTAAAGAAGATCGGAATGTGTTGAAAGAAGTGTAGAGTAACATGAATATTTTACTAGTTTCTGAGGGTTGACTGTGTGACAGACTCAGACCCTAAACTCTTAATCACTTTGCATTTCCATTTGCTATATTGACATCTATTGTTGTTAGTATTGACCGGGTCTCACAATGTAATCTGAGCTGGCCTTGTACTTCTATGTCTCCTGCTTCATGCTCTCTCTCTCTTTTTTTTTTTTTTTTGGTTTTTCCGAGACAGGGTTTCTCTGTGTAGCTTTGCGCCTTTCCTGGGACTCACTTGGTAGCCCAGGCTGGCCTCGAACTCACAGAGATCCGCCTGGCTCTGCCTCCCGAGTGCTGGGATTAAAGGCGTGCGCCACCACCGCCTGGCTTGCTCTCTCTCTTTTGAGACAGGGTCTCACTATGTAGCTCTGGCTAACCTGAAACTGGCTACAAAGACCAGGGTGGTTGGGAACTCATAGAGATCCAACTGTCTCTGCCTCTGGTGTGCTGGAGTAAAAGGCATGCAGCACTGTGCTCACCTTGCTTGGTGTGTTATCATGAGATTAACATGCATCCATCACCAAGCTGGCTGTATTTGTTTCCTGAACAATGTTTTTCTCCTTGGGACTTTGACCCATTCTGCACTCTGTTGATAAAGAAACTGGCCCTGACCCCAAACACTATGGATTAGGAGGGGAACAGTGGTCACTCACGGATTATGTCCAGCTGGATGGGGTCACTCCTCTTGGAACTGACTTGATTGGATACTTCACACTGATAGTCCCCAGAATCCTCAATCCTCACAGAGTCTATTTGGAGGGTGCTGTTGTTGTGGGACAGCTTCATCCTGTCTGTGAGCTCCACACTCTGGCCTTTGAAGAGCCAATGGACAGAGATCCCAGTGTTGTTTGACAAGCAGTTCAGGAAGACAGAGGTCATATCTTTGAATGTGTTGTTGGTGACTTGGATGGAGGGTGGAGTCACTGGATCTGTGGATAAATAGTGGAGGGACCAGCTGAGAGTCCTTCATCCTCAGAGAAATCAGCCAGTTCACAGGGCCCGTACAATGAAGGGGCCCTCTGCAAGATAGCATGTTTGTGTTCAAGATATGTTCTGTAGGGAGAGAGCTGAATCTTACTCCTACCAAGATCACTCACAGTGACCCTGACTCAGGGTATTTGTGTAGATTCCACACTGGGAGCCTCTTCAGCCCAAAAACCCAGAAATCTCATGGTTGGGAGGAATGTATTTCCCAATGATTTTTGTGGGGATTCTTGTTCACACTTTCTGTGAACAGTCAGGTCCCTCTTTTATGAAATAACCTCCTGTTTATATTTAATTAAATAATTTGTCATGGGGTTAAGATGGCCCAGCTAATCTTAAAGGTGTTAAACGCTAGACCTCAGGACTGGGAGAAATCCCTAACTGAAGGATTTCTGTTTGTAGAAAAAAAATATATTTCCTGCCCCATGGATATGGATTAAATACTACAGAGAAGATGTGAATAATCACATTTCTGAGCACAGCCTACAAGTCTAATCCTCAGTATTGATATTATTTGAGACAGGGTCTCAGTTTATAGTTCTAGCTTGCTTGGAACTTGCTATGTAGACCAGGCTCTCCTCAAACTCATACTATCTACATGTCTCTCCCTCCTCAGTGCTAGCATTGAAGATGTGTGACACCACACTCAGCTATTTGTTTTTTGGTTTGTTGTTGTTGTTTTGGTTTTTCTAGACAGGGTTTCTCTGTGTAGCTTTGTGCCTTTCCTGGATCTTGCTCTGTAGACCAGGCTGGCCTTGAACTCACAGAGATCCACCTGCCTCTGCCTTCTGAGTGCTGGGATTAAAGACATGTGCCACCACTGCCTGGCTCCTATTTGTTTTTTAAGCTTGAGAAGAGTAAGCAAAAAGGCATCATCAACTGTCAGTTTCATGGTTCACCCTGACTCAGAACAGGGCTCCCAGGCACCTTCTCCACCCACTCTTCCCATCCCATGGAGTCAGAACTGAGACAGGGGCAGACCTGGGAGCAGAGGTGTAGTCCCCATCTGTGGGGAATATTCTCCTCCAATTTGGAGAATAAGAATGTGAGCACAGTTGAAAGTCCTGGGTGTTCCTTGTAGGTCATGGATGTCATAAAATGAAAATGGAGGGGACAGGAAAGCTTGTGTTAGGTACAGAAAGAAATCTTGACCTTGAGGCTCTCCTAACCATGGAAAGTCCCTCACACAAGCTAAGGCTTTTCAAGACTGGGAGAACCTCCTCCTCACATTGCAAGTTCTGGTGGTATTGTGTTCCCCAAAATATTGTACACCCTAATAAACTTATCTGGGGTCAGAGACAGAACAGTCACTAGATACAAAGGCTAGAAAATGGTGGCACTCACACCTTTAATCCTAGCACTCCAGAGGTAGAAATCCCTCTGGATCTCTGTGAGTTCGAGGCCACATTGGAACCAGCCAGGCATGGTGACACACACCTTTAATCCAAGAAAGCAAGCCTTTACTCCCAGGGAGTGGTGGTTGAAAGCAGAAAGGTATATAAGGTGTGAGGACCAGAAACTAGAAGCATTTGGCCGGTTAAGCTTTCAGGCTTCTAGCTGCACAGTTCAGCTGAGAGCCATTTGGATATGAGGACACAGAGGCTTCCAGGCTGAGGAAACAAGATCAGCTGAGAAGTTGGTCAGGTGAGGTTAGCTGTGGCTTGTTCTGTCTCTCTGATCTTCCAGTGTTCACCTCAATAACTGGCCTCAGGTTTGATTTAATTAATAAGACCTTTTAAGATTTCTGCTACAGCAAGCTTCATCCCTCTCAGCCAGAAACCAGAGAACCAGGAGTCCATTAGACATAGGGATGGAGGAGGAGGCTTGGGGGAAGACTGAGTTTTGCTAGTCCCCATAGTCTTGGGCTGGAAATTAAATGCTTCTGCCACTTCCCAGAAAGCTAAAAGACTCCACTCCAAACCTGTAACTGATATTTCAGAGATCCACTTACTAAGGACTGTAATGTTCTTGACTGTGGTCCTATAGACTCCAGGAAAAACGTTATAGATGAGGCAGGAATAGGATCCGATATTATTAGTATTGATATTGAGGATAAAGAGCTCTTGGGAGGATGACTGGAGCTCTCCATTGACAAACCAAGAGTACTGTTGAGGTGGGTTAGCATCTGTGTGGCAGGAGATGTGAGGTTTGTCCTTGAATGGAAATGAATATTTGAGGGGGATATGATCTGGACATCTGGACCATCTGGAGAAAATAGAATTAAATCACACATGATATCAGCACAGGGAAGGGATTCCTGGTCTGTAGAAGGACATAGTATCTCTTTGAGCTGTGCTTTAACCTTAGTTGAGCAGGTCCTACCCAGAGTTGGGGAGGAGATTAGTACAAGAGTACTCATTCAGCATGCACAAGCCCCGATCTATCTTAAGCACAACACACAAACATCCCACTGCACACTCATGTGTGCACTGAGACTGAGTCTGACTTGTCCCCTGTCTCCATCACCCTGAGTCTCTCTAGGCAGGAGAAGTCCCTGCAACCCATTCAAGCTCAATGCTGGGCCTGTCCACATATGTTTTGGCTGGTACAGGATGCCCTGGCAGCCTAGGTATCTGTATGGTAGGTCTGTGTCATGAACCCAAGGGGACTGGAACCGAGCATGGTATAGCTCTAGCCCTCTGTATTTAGGCAGTTGGGACCAGGACGAAACAGAAAATACTTACAGGTGATGTTCAGAGAGAATGGGTCACTTGGGGAGGCACTTACTGAGTTCCAGTTTCACATTCATAGGGTCCTGTGTCAGTCTCACAACACTGAGTAATGTGAGATTCCTGTAGTCATAAGACAGCTTCAGCCTGTCCTCTTCTGAGAGGCTTTGATCATTTATCCTCCACAGGTAGGTTATATTCTGAGTCTCATGCTCACACATTAATGCTACTGATCCTCACCCTCCATGGGATTGGAATTATTGGTTGTTATGCTGGGCTTGGGTAGCAGTGCTGTGCTGACCACAGAGAGATGATTGTTGTGTGTGGTACTTTTGTATCTTACAAAGGTCTCTTACACCCAGACATAGTCTCTTAACTCCCATCTGACACAGATCCCTAAAGAATCAGGCAGGAAGCAAATTAAAGGCAGAAGGAGTGGCTGAGTTTTCAGAGATAATGGTGCCTCCTGTGCTGTGTATGGAAGAAGCAAGGACTTTCTCGTGAGAGAACTGAGCTGCAGTGTTTGGTGATGGTCAGACTCAAGACTTGGAATCACAGATCTCATTTTATTTCCTGGTCCTCACTGACCCATTGCTGCCTTGAGACACAAGGTTTGGGTCCCTCTAGCTACACTGACCTTGCCTGCTTTGTGTAGACCAGAGCCCTCCCAGCCTTTGCTGTCCTACAGATAGGTCATGATTAGTCTTCCCATTGAGCTTCCCTGAGAAACCTGACAGCCTGTCAGAGATCTCACACAGCTCAGGATCTGCCTGACATTTAGGTCATGCTGGGTCACAGGTGGGCTATTCTTGTCAGGTGTTTGATGTTGATTGACAGGAATCTGGGAGCCCTATAAGAATCCTGAGTCTATGAAGTGATCTAGAAGAGTGAAGTCCACCTAGTAGGTCTCCATGATGGTGACCTGGAGATGTGGTTTTGGACAGATAGCTTGTGTCACTGATGGCTTATGTGACCCTGACTCAATGACTGTGTTTGCTATCTCACTTTTTCTATAATAGGACACATGGTAAATGATCATTGCTATGTCTGCAAATTAACCTTAAATGTGAACAGTGATCTGACCTTCCACCAAGCAGTGTCTACTAGTATTTCCTGCAGGAAATAATCCCTGGACTGCGGTGGGAGAGATGGCTCAGTGGTTAAGAGCACTGGCAGCTCTTCTAGAGCTCCTGAGTTCAAATCCCTTACTACCATCTATAATTAAAATGTGGTGACCCTTTCTCGTGTGCATGCAGAACACTTTATATATACTAAATAAATAAATAAACAAACAAACAGATTAATTAATTAATTAATTAAGGATAAACGGACTGTGGGAAGGAAACACCAAGGAGCTGTTGGTAGAAATATGTAAATTTCACATTGGAAAGAGGTGCAGGTTATAAGCAACCCATAGACAATTGTAGTCAATGGCAGTGTACATTTCAGAGTAGTCAAGACGAATTTCCAATTTCTCACCATAACAAATGGGAGATAAAAGTGTAGTGGGTGTTACAGAGTTGACTTAATCATTCTGTCTTGTACGCAGACATGAAAGATTACACTCTATTTCTTCAGACTAAGTACAGTTGGGAGGCCATTTAAAGCACTATTAACAAGTAATAGATCATGGATCAAAACAGTGGGAATATCATTTTCAAGTGCCAAAAAATGTTACATATTGTACATCTGAACATGGGCCAAAATATATAAAGAACTCTCACAGTTCAACAATAGTAACAATAAAACCACAAGCAGCTCAATCCCAAGAGAAGGAAAAGACCTGACATTCCTTTTAAGGAAAGAGGAACAGATGACCAATAAAGACAGGCTGCTTAGTTTTTGTCTATTTGACAGACTAAATTCACAAGGGAAGAGAAAACCTCAGTTGAGGTATCACCTCCATCACAATGGCCGGCAAGTCATTTTCTTAATTACTGTTTGGTGGAGGAGGACCCGGTGCTATCCCCTTGCAGATGGCCCCTTTCTTATGGGCTCTATAAAAAAAAGCAGCTGAGCAAGTTGTGGGAGCAAGCCAGGAGGTTTTCCCCATGGTTCTTGCCTGCACTCCCCTCAATGACACACCCTGATCAAGACATTTAAGCCAAATAAACCCTTAACTGCCAAGTTGGTTTGGGTTGTGGCATTTCATCACAGTAACTGGAAAATCTATCTAGAACAACACATAAAGAATTGCTATGGGAGCCGGGGGAGTGGTGGTGGTGGTGGTGGCACATGCCTTTAATGCCAGCACTTGGGAGGCAGAGGCAGGTAGATATCTGGGATTTGAGGCCAGCCTGATCTACAGAGGGAGATCCAGGACAGGCACCAAAACTTCACAGAGAAACCCTGTCTCAAAAAAAAACAAAAATTAAAAAAAAATAGAAATGCTATGGAGTTATGCGTAGTGGCACATGACTTTAATCCCAGCACTCAGGAGGCAGAAGGAGGTGTATCTGTGAGTTCCATGCCAGCCTGGGCTGCAGAGTGAGTTCCAAGACAACCAGGGATATACAGAAAAACTCTGTCTCAAAAAACCAAAAATGAAAAGAAAAAAAAATAAATGCCTATGGGCCAGGCAAGGTGGTGCACACCTTTGATCCCACTACTCTGGGAATTCCAGCCTGGTCAGCTGGGACTATATAGTGAGACCCTGTCTTACAAACAAAAACCAAAAACATGCTTAACACCAGCAGTCATTGTAAAAATGTACATGATTGACGGACCTAAACTGTACATTCTTAAGGATAAGTCGTATATAAATTATAAACTATTAAAGATAGTTATTAGGATACAAGTTAAAACTTGATCATCTTATAAATGATCAAATTCTCTATACAAATGTATGTTTAGAAACAGGCTAAATATGCGGAATATTAGCATAATCAATTCCTTACTTCACCCATGACATTTAAAAAATGTTTAAGCTTCCCACTTTAAGTTATGCCATGCCTCTTACAGCCAGGAATTAGTCTAAATTATACTTTGAGATCATTTAGATTATATTTCCATTTACCAGGTCTAAAGATAATTTGCCTTGCTATCCAGTTTTCAATAAAAGATAGCTCACCAAACAGATTTCAGAATAAGCTTTTACTATTCCTTCATTAAAAGAAATTTACTTTACATTGACTGTTCTCAATAATCAATCACCTATGTCTCCTGACTAATTAAATACATAAATGGTTTTGGATGTAAAGTTTTTATAAGGGTATAAAAGTTTAGATATAGAGACCGTTTAGGAAAAAAAATAACTTATGATATATGAATTGCCAGTTATTGGGATAGATAAATATAATATATAAACATCTAGATAGGGTATAAATGATACCCCCATCTCCGTAAATAACCTAGAGATACTGAGGATGTGTACCTATGTTAGATCTATGGATAAAGTTTTTCTTGAGATCTGAGATCTGAGATATATAGGCTTTAGAAATAGACTTATGTATGCATTAATACATTAGTCTATAGTCGTCCCCCAGAAGAGACCTGGGGCTAATAAAAGGCCATAGCTCCTCCACTGTACAAGGTATAATAATTGTCCAAGGAATGATTGATCTGACTTTACTGGGAAAATTAAGATTATTGTAAACCTCCTACAAAAACAATTCAGATTCTACAGGGCAGCGCCTAAGGGAGCTGCCAGTTTGGATTCAAGTTTTATGGTCTTCTGGGTTCAGGAAATTAAATATTCTAGACCAACTAAACCCTTAAAATACAGGGAAAGAAAATAACTGACTTGCTAGACATAAGCATTGACATTTCTTACATTTTGTAATCCTGTCCTAAATGAATTTTTATTAATTTTGTTCAAAAGATAATCAGGACTTGAGATATATTATAAATGAAAACATTTCAGATTTCATACTCTGACTACCCTGCTGTTTTCTTGAGACTCCAAAGATTCATAATCTTGCTCTGACACATAACCACTGTTATCATATTGCTAATATGTCTAAAGATTTTGTCTTTTTAGAAGGTTCTTATAAGCTTCAGGAGATCAGGATTCACCAACGCTCACAAGCCAAGAAGGATCAGGAGGAATGCAACCTGACTACACTTTATGTCTTCCACTTACAAATTCTCTTTTTCTTCTCTAGGATGGTGGGTTTTCCTTCTTTCCCTGGCTTGATATCCCCTTCTCTCATCTTCTAAAACCATACATTTAATATTCCATAGGTATACTTAAGAGAAAAAGTTTCCTCCTTAAAACTCATCAAATGCATGTATTAATAAATACATTTGTTTCCAGCAGAAATTCTGATGATTTAGAGAGTTACACGTTGTCATCCTCTGGACCACAGACATGCTGTCTAGCTGCAGGTCTGCACCTCATCCTCCATCCTCCAGCCCACATGGATGTGTTGTCCAGCTCAGCCCTGCATCATGCCCTCTAGCACATGAGACAGAAAATCCTGCTACCCATGTCTTACCCTGCAGAGCCTGAAACAGTCTGCTCTTCCTGGGTTTCCGCTGCATTCCAGCCTTCAAGACCCTCAGCTTCAGACTCATATCAGCAGGAAGTAACCATGA